TAAAGGGCAACGCAGGATTAACGCGTTATCCTTAAGCTTTGTAATTGAATTGTTATTGGAACTAAGCCTAACGCCTCGATCTTAGGAATCAACGGATTTGCCGAATTTCAGCCAGTAAAATTCGTAACATAACGGAATGCGAAAGGATCAGCTGTATTGTAAATATAAAAATGTAGACATTATGCCGAAGTCGAATAATAACTATAATTATGAAAGCTTCTCATTAAAAAAGCGAGGGTATAATTGCGACTTTGGAAAATTCCTAGACACTGTAGTCCTTGTGCATTTCCTCTTCCGAAGTGGACTTGTTTAAAAGTTTGAACTTCCAAAACAGTTTAGAACAATAGGTTCTTAATTAAAATAGGTATACTTACGGCTGCAAACTCTTTTTCTGCCATGATTTGTGAGCCGTTCAAAGATTTAAAAAATGCGTATTCATTTTTACAATTGTAGAACGCATCACTTAATTATTGAAATCAACTGAAGCGTAATAAAGATGTAACAATGAATTTACTTACTAGAGCGTGTACCGTACTTCTTGAGTCCCAATATGGATGATGTACTCATAGTTTGGAAGAGCCTGAATTAAAATATGTTTATCTGATCAGAATCCCTTTTTAGCTTGAAGTTTTTTTGTGACATACTTGCAACAAACGAAGCTCTTTGTCCTCAAACAATCCAACACATGCAGACATAGCGATGAAAGCAATAAGGAAACAATAACTAAACATAATATGTCTAACCTCTGTCCCTGAGAGAATAACGCTCTATTTTTGCTATCTTTAAATCTGGGAAATGCTAGTTGTGATCACGGCGGGGCCGTTATCTTTACGAAATATGGTATGCGCCCACAAGCAATCGACATTTTATATTAGCACTCTTGACTGGTCGAGGGCTTCTTTTGAGGTAAACCCCTTCAAACAATCCGATAAAATTTTACTAGGAACTGTGGCACTGGATTCTGTAGCAGTAATCACGCTGATAGAGCGCCTTCCGTTCTTTGCCAACCTGCTTCTTCAGATAGTCAACTCTTATTGAGTATTAATTCTTTAGCATAAGGTCTTCTGCTCTGTTTCTGTATGATAGATGTCCTTTGCGCTAGTATTGCTAACGATTGTATTACTGTTTCCTTTGATCGTTTTGGAGTTCTGATTGTTTTATACTTCGTTGACCTTCATCAGCGCTTGTATGTTTTTGTTTAGGAAAAATATCCCACGACCTACAAAGAATGGGCCACAGTCTCACTTCCCGCTGCTTGCATTCACCACTGTGCGCACAACGATTCTGGAGATATAGTATCGCTTTATGG